CCTTTAGTGCAGGGGTCCCCAACCGCCGGTCCGCGGACCGGTATCGGTCCGCCGGGCATTTGGTACCGGGCCGCACAGAAAGAACTTGCCTTAATTCCGTTTTATTTATTTCGGAATACGAAAGATGTTTTATTTTGAAAAACTACCGGATTCTCCGTTACATCCGTCTGTGTTACGCTTGACACACGTCAATGTCCAAACCAAGCTCCTCAACACACTCGAAATTGTTGCCGCGTCACCAAGATGCCACCGGATGGCGCGCGCCGTTTGGCCTGCGCGCGGAAGGCGTTCCGCTCGCAAGTGGCGCAACTAATCCCCACTCCCGCCCTGCAAGATATTTACAGGATGTTCCAGCGGTTCCAGGGTCACATCCAGCCAAAGGTGCACCCGGGTCGCAAAAGCCGTCTGGTGACCAAAGACGGCCGCTGCAACATCGAGTTTGGCAAGAGGGAGCCCGGCAACCACCTGGCGTACCTGGTGGACATGTGGACCACCTTTGTGGAGATCCGTTGGCGCTTCGTGCTGCTTCTGTTCGTGGCGTCGTTCATCGGGAGCTGGTTCATCTTCAGCCTGCTGTGGTACTGGATCGCCCGCAGCAACGGGGACATGTCGGCGCCGCGGCGCACCAACCACACCATGTGCATCGCCAACGTCAACAGCCTGACCACCGCCTTCCTCTACTCCCTGGAGACGCAGACCACCATCGGCTACGGCGGGCGGGCCCCGACGGGCCAGTGCGCCGGCACGGTGGCGGTCATCATCCTGCAGTCCATGGTGGGCGTTTTCATCAACAGCTTCATGTGCGGGGTCATCCTGGCCAAAATCTCCCTGCCCAAGAGACGCGCCAAGACGGTGAGCTTCAGCGACACGGCCGTCATCTGCCTGAAGAACGGCAAGCTCTGCCTCCAGATCCGCGTGGCCAACCTCCGCAAGACGCTTCTGATCGGCAGCCAGATCTATGGGAAGCTCCTGAAGACCACCACCACCTCCGACGGCGAGACGCTCATCTTGGACCAGCTCGACATCCACTTCACGGTGGACGCCGGCAAGGACAACCTCTTCTTCATTTGCCCCCTGACGCTCTACCACGTGATCGACCGGGCCAGCCCCTTCTACGAGATCTCGGCCGACACGCTGCCCCATCAGGACTTTGAGCTGGTGGTCTTCTTGGACGGCACGGCCGAGTCCACCAGTTCCGTCTGCCAGGTGCGGACCTCTTACACCCCCCAGGAGATGCAGTGGGGGCACAGCTTCCTGCCCATCATCTCGCGAACCAAGACGGGCAAGTACTGCGTGGATTTCTCCAACTTTTCCAAGAGCGTGCAGGTGGCAACGCCGCACTGCGCCCGCTGCTTTGAGGGCAAAGCGGACGCCGAGCTCCAGATCCACAACCAACACAAGAAAGACAATCGCAAGAACCAGCAGAAGATTGGCATCCACAACCTGGCCTTCCAGGGCACGGACGTTCACGACGCCGCAGACGTCACCAAGATGTGAAGGCCTCATCCTTCTCGCGTATGGAGGAGGAAGCCCCCCCACACCCGCCCCAAAAAAAGCTACAGAAAAATCTGCCCAGGGACCATCTGGTCAGATTTAGGACCAGGTCCGGGGTCAAACTCAACAGGCAGTTTCATGTAACACGTGAACATTCTTATCCGTCACCCGAAATCGTTCCATCAAGTGACGATTTTGCCAACTTGGTCCTGTTCCACAAGGATTTGTTTGGATTTAGAATCTGGTCACGCAAGATTTTTCGAGCCAAATGTTTCACCTGAGATATTTAGCGTGACTGGTTCGGGCCGAACTCTGAAGGACGTTGAAAGTTCCTCAGCAATGAAAAGGGGCATTCATCGTGAACGGCACAGCGGGTTCCTCCTGAGAAGATTAACGTCTGAGTCGCTTTTAATAAAAAAACTGCACTGTGTGGAGGCGGGGGGGGGGGCTCTCTCACACACACACACACACACACACACACACACACACACACACACACACACACACGGGCTTTTCGCACTTTGTCATTATTGCCACGAAAATGTCGCACATTGACAGATCGACGTCCTTGTTTGCCGTTAGAAGGACGCAGCGAAATTCGGTGGTCGTTCGTGACTCAGGGACGTTACTCAATAAAATGCGTACGCCCACAATGAAATGACTTTAGGTTCTTTTCACTAATGAAACTTAATTTGATTTTGACGTACCACAAAGCGGTGGAGTATACCGATGGCCAGTAGAGGGCAGCAAAGCACTACTATCACCAAATAAGCATCAGGAAACGTTTTCATCTGATTTGTGACTAAAATTTGATTGGACTACAGTATTGAAAAAAATCAAAGAAAACGATACACTTGAGATTGAGCTAGCGAGCTAAATGCACCAATTGATATAAGGAATAATTCTTTAAAATGTAAATATAGAGGGTTGCTGCTCTTTAAGCATACAAAAAAAACAATGTACTTTTCATTCATAATTTTGCAAATAAAACACATTTAAACGTGAATTTTTTTTCCATTAAAAAAAACACTAAAAATACATTCATGAAGTAAAGACATTTGGTCAGACTGTGACGGTATCGCTAATTGACGGTTATGAATGGCAGAGCATCAAATCTCAATCAAAATATTTATGTTATTAAATGAACTCAATTCATTTTTGATGGTAACATTTCCAATTACAATTAGCCAATTAAATAAAGTCATCATAGTATTTTTTTTTACTACTGTAGAAATTGTTAAAATATGCACAACTGTATTATTGTTTTATTTATAATCAATTATTTGATTCCTCCCAAAAAAGAAAGAAATTAGCTGACAACAAATTTTGAGACTCGTTATGTTGGTTCTTGGAAGAAAATCCTTCACATTTCAAAACAATGCCACCATGTAACCGGTGAACTTTGAATTTCAGTGATTTTCCTCCTTACCGAAATCTCATCAGATTAGCATTTGTGATCCTACGACAGACGGGCCAAGTTTGGATGAAAGTGCGCGTCTTTGACCTTGTTGCCACCTTGAGCCTTCTCCTCAGCCTTGAAGCCTCCACCTCTGAGCAGCTCCGAAGCCAAAGAACAACCGGGGTTAATCTCAAGCGTTTCCCTGCTGGCTGGAGAGAGTCACATTGAAAAGTGTCAGAGAGACCAAAACACAAGAAAGACGCAGTGATTTGACACCGCGGTTTTACACGAACAAATGTGTCACAAATGTGCTTTATTGACAAGTCCCAGATGGAAATGACGTCACCTGCAAATGCTTTGTGTAAGGTCACTTGAATGTCAGCAGCCGGGAGCCAGAGGAAGTCAGCGCAATCAATTTTGATTTTTTTTTTTTAACGCATTGTACATACTGGACATTTGGAACCGAGCATACGTGCCAACTTTTCCCCCGGCAGCCTTCATTGGAATTGAAAACCCAGAGACAACGCCACACGTGTTTTGCATTTTCTTTGGCTTTTTGTTAAGATAGCCTGAGAAGTCACCAAAAACGTCTGGCGTTTCATTTGAACCTAAAAAAACTTTTTAAACTGAGACATCCGTCTTCCACACATTAAAAAACAAATGTCTTCAACACCTTTTAGTGTTCTTCATTTGCGCTATATACTGTATTCTTTTTTTTAGACCATCATATATTAAGACATGAAATCATGTACATTACATTTAAAAAAAGGTTTTAACAAATATTTAACAATACATATTACAGTGTTTTATAAATCAATAAAATCAGTTTCTAGTCTATTTTTACCCCCCCCCAAAATGTCAAATAAAAGATAGGTTTTCTCTTTTTTGGAAAAAAAAATTGCTAATGCTAATGGCTCTTGAAAGCGTGGAATTCAGTATTCCCGTTTTGATTGATTTTTTTTTATGTGACATTTTCATTCACAATTATTTGTTTTTTATAATACCCAGCATCAACAATTGTATCGAATCAAGATTTTAAAAGGCGTATATTACAATATGAATTTGCAGTTTTGCGGAATTTTTACATATCTGCAATTTTTGTGCAGTGCACGTTTCAAATGAAAAGCAAATTTGATGCGAACACTAACAGCTAGCTAGCAATAGCACAGAGTGTGTCCAATCCTGTTTGGTTTGTCTCTCGAGGGCGAGTACTTTGTATTGTCGTCTCGGAATTTCCCACCATTTCTGCTGAAAGAAAGCGAACAAATTCGGACTCTGTGTCGCTTTGGAATTTCTGTCCTCATCGCTAGGCCACCTCGACGCTAACATGAGCCCGGTCCTCATGATATGAAGGGACGGCCGTGCAGTCCCGGCTCCGACGTTGGCTCCAGAGAACCCATCAAGGTCAACTTGACATGCAGCTTACGTTCACGGACCCAAATGCTCACATTCTGCTGGGAGCCAAAACCTTTGAAAAGGCTGCTGGGGAAAACGTTGTTACGAAGTTGTCACATAAGATGCTTTTGGCTCACTGATCCGTTTGTTGGAGCCTCACACAGTGTCAAATACTGTAGACAGACAAGTGGGGTCATACAGATTTTTTTTTGGGGGGGGGGGGGGGGGTTTCCATTCGTTGAGCCAAAATGGAGCATTTTCCTTTCCTGAATGGACATGAAAGTGCACGTCCAGCCACCAGTGCCCAGGAAACGTGTCACAGGGGAAAAAAAGATCAGGAAAGGTCGGTCACATTCTCTCAAATTGTGGTCACGCAGCTGCAAAAAGGAGCGAGGGGTTGCTTTGAGCGCAACGGTAGAAAGAGAAAAGGGTACATTTGACTCTTTTCTTTTTAGGGATGGGCAAATACCGCTAGCAGGTATCGGCATGAGGCCACTGATACTCAACGCAAAACCGTTTTTGCCTTAAGTCCACTCTGGCCAGTAGGTGGTGCTACGGTGCGGCAAATGATCTTTTGCATTTGACTTCTTCAAATGTGTTTATCATCCCCGGTGCTTTCATCTTGAGCAGATGTGAGTGAGACAATATTGTGCGCGCGAAGCGCAGCGAGACGCTGCCGCGCGAGTATCTAGGTCGCATTTTTTTGGGACTCATCTTGGAGGGCATTTCCAAGAGGCTCTAAAACAAGACGCGGAAAGCTTGCGCAGGGCTCCCGAGGGGAATGTCATTCAAAGGCGACCACTCGCAATGAGAGCGCCGATGGATGCGACTGGGCACCGGTGGCCGAAAGGCACTTTTCTCAAGTGGGAGTTTGTCAAAGCGGCGTAAACGTTGTCTGATCACTCGCTGGTGGAATACCGAGCGGATTAATTCAGAGACAATGATTCTAATCCCCCCCCAAAGCGAGGATGGCGTCTCCTCCCGCGGCGTGTTGGGAGAGAAATCTTGCAAATGTGCGGCAGCTCTTTGAAGGCAGACATTCAAAAGAGGATTTACACCAATAAATTAAAAAGGGGGGGTTCGGGGGGGGGTGGATATAGCACTTGGAAATGGATTCCATGACAACGCCTTGAGAATTTTCCGGCCATTTTCCGGACTGCTCGTCATCATTGGCGTTGCGGGTAACTGGACCGGAACCCAGGCTGAGCTCGCACCGCGCAACCTGGATTGGTCGCCAGTCCGTTCAAGGCATTCGCATTCCCGTCAAGGAACAATTTGTCGTCTTTTGAGAAAATTGGAGAAAACAGAGCTTCAAACCCCGGCAGCCACGTTCACCGCGAGCACACCGAGCTGCCGCCCGATATCCGACTGAATATTGAAGTGACTACAGTATTTGGAGGCCTACTTTGAGGTCATAGTATTCGAAAGTAAGGGCACTCTTACTCCGAGTACAATCAGTGGCCACTCCACCCACCTCTGGTCACTAATCAATCGCAGGCAGTCCCATCTCTGGACCATTTTGAGTCTTCAATCAAGCCCTTTTGGCCTCAAAACAGAGTCCAAGCCGGTCGGATCCGGCGATTGTGAGGGCGCCCGTGCTCTTGTCCCATCCAATCGACTATCCCACCGGGTAAAAGCGTGGCGCCATCTCGGGACGGATGGTTTGCCGTCTTCGGAAGGATCCCCGTTCCCGGGACAAGCTCTCCGAGAAGCTTTGGCCCCGCCTTCTCGCCGGCGCCGACCTATCGGAGGGGCGGCTGGGGTTGTTGCGGGTTGGGCCTGTAGAGCTGCTGCAGCCGTACCGGGCGCCCGCTGGGCGGCCAGCCCCCGGGCAGCTGTCCGATCACCCTGAGCCCCACCGGCTGGAGGGGGGCGCCGGGGCCCGGGACGTGTCCCTGCGGGTGGGGAGGGGGCGGGGGAGTCCTGGCGTGCTGCGGCTGCGGCTGTGCCGGGGCCGCGGGGGAAACGGGAGAAAGCGGGTAGCGCGGCAGCAGGATGGCCGGCGTCAGGCCGTAGCGTACCTGGAAAACCCGCAGAGGTCCCTGCGCCACGTAGCCGTTGGGCCGCGGCGCTTCCGCCGCGGCCGCCTTTGCCTCCTCGAGGACGTTGCCCGGCGCGTCCTCGCCGCCGCCCGCTTTGCCGGGCTGCTTCTTGATCAAGTCCTGCATTTTCTCCGCCTGCGCTCGGCGCATGTGGTAAGTCCTCCGGGAGCGCTGGAAGGAGTCCAAAAAGTCCTCCAGGCTCATGTTCCCCTCCATGAACGTGTCCAGCAGCTCCTGTGACGACGACAAAACCAAAGCGGTGTCAGCAGACAACACTTGCGAAGGGGAGGAACACTTGGATGGGATTGCAATTTAAAGCGTCCAAATGAAACAATGAGCAGACGGAACACTTTTTGGCAACCTGAATCTTGCAACTCTCCAGCAGACAAAGACGCGGGGACGTCCCATCCATCAGGCGGCCCCCCCCTCTGAGGAGAATGACAATTTAAGAAGCGCGCAGGATGTTTACGCCTGAACTTTGGCCCGGCCCACTTTGTCAGCTGGAATAACTCGCCGTACGCGGCTAACAAAAGGGCCTCGAGCTCAGCGACGGTTGCTTTTGGCAACGCGCGAAAGCCGAGCGCTCCTCGTCCGGACCGGTTCCCAGGATGGGAATTTCAGCCCCGTCGGGCGCGCATCCGTCACGGTTTGCGTCGCTCGCGCCGGGTTGCGTCCTCTGACGCGAGGTGGCGGCGAGCGTCGGATGGCTGTCGCGGCGATGACCGAAGAGACGCTCTGAAATTTTTACGTCAACCCCAGCGCTGGCTGATCAAAAAAAGCGACGCGCGGCTCTTCGCGTTTCATTCAAGTCAGACGTGTTGCCTGGACCGTCTTTCATTCAGGGAATCGACACGGCACTTCATTAGCGTGGCTTCATGGAAAAGTCAACTTACTTGCTCATCGCATTTACAGTCAAGCCGCATTCATTGTGCTAGAGACATTATTAAAACAAAAAAAGCTTTTGGAAAAAAATAATTTTAGTGCTCTTATATTTTAATGCCTTTTTTTTTTTTTTGGGTATCTATGCAACATGGGTTCATGATTGTGTACATGCTCCATGCATGGTGCCGATACTGTTCTGCTTGCTGCTGTCCTTACGTAATTACAAGTCCCTTTTCGGGGCCGAGGATGTTGATTACTCGCAAATATGGACTATTTGCTACACCAAAACAAAAAAAAGTGATTCGCTATCAGTATTGGTATTAATGTGAAACTGAATACAGCCATGAGGGCAGAACACGGGAAGATTGCCGCAGCCAAGCCATCACGCCGCACAGCTTGAATAGCAGCGCGGGCCGCTACATCTCACATGGCTGAGATCAGAGCAAATAGCCACAAAATGATTCCACCCACCGCATCCGCTCCAGTCAGACAATTTGCAGGGTAAAAAAAAAAAAAAAAGAGGATAGAGAGCAGAGAGAACAATGTGTTGTTTGTGGCCTGGCTGGTGGGCGTGGCAGTGAGTCGTTGTTGATCGGAGCTTCACGGGGGTGGGGGAGGAAGCAGATGACATGTGGAAATCACTCCTTTTTTTTGTTTGGGAAAAAAAGAAGCCTTCCTTGACTTTTTTGTTGTTTGTTTTTACCTCCGAGTTCTCCTCGGCACGTGCCACCTCTTCTTGCAGGAGGTTCTGGGCGCTCTGCAGGCTGGGCTTCGGGTCTCGGGCTCCTGAAAAGGGTGAAGCTCAGGTGAAAATGAACGCAGGCACCGAGACTTCACCCCAGCCGCCCTCGTCGAGCGGCGGAGAAAACCCACAAGACAAGAAATATGTTTCCGCTTCACACTGGCCCCGAGACTCATTGTCAGGCCCATCTGCTCATTGACACCCCCCACCGCATAACTGTCCCGGGTGAGGCTTTGCGTTATTAGAGTCCACGAAGTGACCTTTATTTGCAGAAATCTGTTTTGACTTTGGGGAGAAAAAGATCAACTTGACGCAGCAAACCGTGAACAGAGTGCATTTTCTGCACTGTCAATCTCAAAGGTTTTTTTTTTTTTTTAAACTAAAAGGATGGAAAATAGACTTATTTTTGTCCTATTCATTCAAATAAAAATGAACAGATTGTTCACTGATGTTCAAAAAGTCATTACAGTCCTAGTTCCTTGTCCACCGAAATCCATTCATCTTAAAAAAAGCGGGCAACTGTTGCGCTTTCTTCAAACACCCTCACCTCAACATGAATAATTCACGGCGTCGCGTTCACCTTCCATCCAGCGTAGGTTGCAAAAGCAAGCCGGCGCGCACGGAAACGGTAGCGCGCCTGTCCGACGACCGCACGTTGGGGACGTGGCGAAGGAGGCGAATGTGAGTTGACAGCCAGGGAAAACAAACACTCCTAAGGCAGCTGAAACGTGACCTACATTCGGCACGGGAAGCCAACTGGACCCGGGGGAGGCCCGCGCACGCATCATGTTGCCACGCTTGGCAATTTGTTGGCGGCCCTGATGGATCAACTCGTCATGTCGGGGAGATGATATCGAGTCAAGTGGCGTCAGAAATGAAGCAACGGAGAGGAAAAAAAAAAAAAACAAACACAAAAACAAACGCCCCGTGTGAAACAGGCAGGCGGCTTTCAGTGAGCAGGTAGGCTGAAAACTGATAGCGAGGCTGTCTCCAGCCTATCCACCGTCACATAAAACACAATCATAAATACGAAGGGAACTACTATCAGTCAACAAGGCTGGCAAAGTCTGCCACATTAAAACGTCGTTTAAAAGTGAAGAATTTGGTCAACTTCAAGTCAAATTTATCAACGTAGCAAATACAGTGGAGAGGAACTGGGCCAGCCCAAGAAAAACGCAAAGCCGATTTGTTTGTTTGTTTGTTGACACTGCACTGCTTCTTCTGCTGTGATTTTAGCCCTTTGTCACAGAGGATAAAGAATATATGCCTCTGAGAATCATGTTAAAAAAACAGACACTGATAACCAGTCTGTGGTATTTTGCGTTGTTTGTCAGCATTAAGCTAAAGGGGCTGTCATCGGGCTATGCTGCGCGGTTGCTTCTAATACAAAGCGTGTAATTCTTCTGCTTTCACACAAAAGTGGCACCCCTTGCTTTCATCAGAATTGATGGAGTTGCGAGAACGCGCCGGCTGCCAACCGCGTTAAGACTGAGACGCCCCCATTTCAATTCTTCCATTCCCCCACAAACGCTGACAACTCGAGCAAAGAGTGTGAAACGAATCGACGAGTGTTTGAACAGTTTTGTAGGCCCCAAAATTGCAGGAGTAATGCAGTTGCCCATCCTGGGTCGAAATGACAAACGAGTGCGCACCACAGCCGGAAGGTGAATTGTGTTTGGAGTTTGGGGACAGAAGCATTCCACAGGGCGTTCTGAAGACATCTGGCAACTGTCGGAATCGGGGAGTCCTAAACGCATGTGACTCCCTGAACAAAGAAAACGTGCAATGTCAACAACACCGGAAGTAGTTGTGTGAGCCTGCTCACAAAATCAAGAATCGAGCAAAAACATGTGCTCCTCGGAGGAGGGAATCATGTTTTCTCTTTGGTCCTTCCATGAAGGTGACTAAGGGGAAGTGAATTAGCTAAAGCTGTGATCCACAAAAGGGGGGAGGGCAATCTGGCTAGGGGGCTTATGAGGCTAATGTGGCTAATGTGCTTTGGGGCAAGGCCACTCCGCGCGCGCACGGTGTCACATCTCCTCCTCGTTCCCATTCCGCTCAATTTCGATTGCTGTCACCGGCTTCCCGGTGCTGCACAAGACTCACAGAACCAGACTTGGTGGGGTGGACGGCACAACGGGTCGACGAAAGCAGTTTTCGGACAGCACGACACGAAAGAAATAGTCAGATGACAAATCAGTTGTAATTGCCCATTGGTGCCACAAGAGGGCAGCACAGCACAGCACTTTTCTATGACGAAATGAGCCCCTCCCCCCCTTTATTTGACACAAAGATGGCACCTAAGGTGACCTTGCTATGAAGACATGAAATAAATAAAAACAGGAAATAGAGGCGTGATCAGCAACTCAGGGAGAGACATCCGCACATTGCAAATATGAGGGGAAAGACGAGCTGCGCAAACCTTGGAAAGGTTGGTTGCACATTTCCGAATCGGAATCTACGACTGGCAGTCCTGACAGTTCCCTGGTTTAGAGACCCGTCTCCAACTTGCTCTCAGCGTTTCTAAACACAGCCCACAGAAATCTTGCTCAGGATCATCATTTTTAGGGACGTCCGTTGTCGACTTTGATCGCAGGCGAGGGGAAAATATTGCGCTTTGGTAGCCCGCTCCAGCAAGCCCCTCATTGCGCATGAAAACACTTCACCATTCGACATCTTGAATCGTTAACGTTTGCGTTAAAAGGCCGTCAAGCTGAACAATGTGCACTCTATACGCAGGAATTCTTGCTTCTCAAAGGCAAGGACCATTAAAAAAAAAAAAAAAAAACGTCTGTTTTTCGTCAATGTCGTAAGTGATGATGATTCCAAACAAATCGCCACTCAGTCTTGCCGACGGATGTGTCGGCATTTTGGTGGAGGAGCCTAATAGCGACCGCGTGGTTTCTGTCAACGTTTCCTCGCATCGGGAAACCTCGGGGAGGGGATTCTCAGAGATGAAAAAAGGAGACGTGGAAACGATGCGCCGTCTCGCTCGCGCAGCCGAGAACGCTTCCGACACATCAAACGTTCCCACGGTCCGCCAGCAAAACGTAAAGCTGTCGAGCTTCCAGGTATGAAAAATAAATATGGAGAAAGTCAAGGGCGACTCGGCAAGCTCGTTAAATCCCAGAAAAAATGTCAAGGCGAATTGAGGAAAGGGGGTGGGGGGTGGGTGGGGGGTTGAGTGAAGCCTGCGTGGATGTGCAGCAGCTGTGTGTGCAAAAGCAACCGGAGACTGAAAGACATCAGACACCAAAGGCACGTGAAATGCGGGGCCAACAGCAACGACCTCATCTGACAAGATCGCTAAAAAAAAAAAAAAAAAAACACCCAAGCTTAAAAATGACAATTCACCAGGGTCATGCTTGGGATCGTCAAAGGTTTTGTTGTCTCAGCCTGCGGTGTTCGCCAACCTCTCGTGAGCAGAGACATCCATTTTACATTTGAAAAAAAATCTCAGGCACAGCACAAGAGAAAAACGTCACCCCAAAAGGTACGACGACAGTCGGAAATAACGATCTCGTTTCATCGTACTCATACTCCGTACTCGCAAAGTGAAATCTGGGCCTGTTGAATTGAAGCGAAACTCGCAGGCGGCCGCGGCTGATCAAAGTGAGCACGAGGCCCGACTGCGAGATGTCTGGGAAAGATTATCCTGTGGGCTGAGGTGATTTTTCTCCCCTCTCCATCTTGCTCGACAAAGGTTCGGACCAGCAATCGTCAACTGTTCAAGTTCTTTAAAGTTGCAGAAACGGGGTACACACATGCAGACGATTGGGCCAAATCCGAGCAGCCGGCTTCCTTCGGGACCAAAGTCGGCGGGCTTCCTGATACGGCCCGTTGGGTTCCCATGAGCAAACTCCAGAGTCACACTGAGGCTTTTTGCCAAGCATTTGACCACTTGTCTCCAAGCCCGACACTTTTTCCAAAGGCTGACGAGAGACTTCCACTTTTGCCAAATGCACTTTTGTCAAAGTCGCAAGTCAGAAAGGATCCCATTCAACTCTGTCGCCTGCAGCCACCGGCTCATCTGACTTCCAAAGCACTTCAAGGGCGCCATCGGATTTTCAAAGACAAACCGGGAGGGACCCTCTTCCATGCTGTTCAAAAAAACTCAGTTAAAAAAAAAAAAGTTGTCTGACTTCCAATATTTTAGGGCTGCAACTCACAATTATTTTAATAACCGTTTAATCTGTCAGTTATTTTGTGCCAATTTGTGTTTGTCATCACTTCTTCCCAGCTCTTGACGTTATTCCTCCGGCATGTAATATGGAGCTTAAAAAAAAGCCGCCCCCCCACCCCCAGTTTCTGGTCTATGGGCCCGGGGGATTTCAACTCACCAAGCTGACTCTGTTTTTCCCAGCACGTGGTTGCCACGTTGGACAGCTCCCGGTATTTTTCGGCCAACTGGAGTCTGCCGTTATTAAGGCGCGGCCGCCGGGCCAGGCTGTCGTCGGCCAGGCTGCGATTGGACGCCATCATCATCTCCCTGTCTATTTGAAGCTCCTGAAACTGGGAAAAAAAAAAAACAAAAAAAAAAACACGAGTCATTATTTGGGGAGGAGAAAAAAAAAAACGCACTTCCAGAGTTCACGACTAGTTCTGTTTAAATGAATGGAGGGTGGCAAATAAATGAAATTCAATTCAAGATGAAGTCACTTCATTCAAACTGCTTGAATGCCAACAAACTGTGGATCCCTTTTACGGAAAGCCGTTTGAGGATTCAGCCCGTATCCTTGAGACCCATCTTAAAGTCCGAGCTCAGCCCTTGACATCTGTATTTTGGCCTGTTTTACTGCCTCTTCTCCTCAGGGGAATGAAAAAGAAAATGGATTCGGCATACATGTGAGTTGGGCCACCACACAGCGCAAAGGTCACGGGTTCGGTTGCTTTGCATCTTTCCCCCGTGCCTGCGTGCGTTTTCTCCGGGAACTCCGATTTCCTCCCACATGCCCAAAACATGCATGGGCGAATAAACTTGATCCAGGTACCACCGGCCTTTGTCCCGACTCGCAAGAACATTGAGCACACCGGTAAAAGGACTGCATAAAAGTCTCCGAGGGCTTCCCATAAATGAGGTGAACGGTTTGTCGCGTGCGTGTTGGGAGTCACCGGGAGCTGCCCGAACTGATCATCGTTAGCAACCGGACCACCGGCGGGCCGGGAATGACCACCAGGCCGTGACCGTTTTTCCGCTACGCGGCACAGCGAGGTCAGCAATGTCCTGGATGACAGTTTTTCTTTTGTTTGTTTCACATAAACGCGTCGCCCCCGGAGAGCCTCATGGGAGCTGGCAAGGGCTGTCTGAAGACACGTCGCCAGGAAGTAGTGACAATTCCCATGAAAGGCTATAGCAACGGCTGAAAAGTGTCACCCCCCCCCCCCCCAAAAAAAGAAACCTTCAACCTCATTTGACCATCAGCAGACAAGATGGCGTTCTGCAAACGCATTCCCTTTAGTGAGAGAACAATACAATCCCAAACACACATGAGCGCAGTCTCACACGGTTTCTTCCCAAAGCGTCACAAAAAGCCCAAAGGCAGTTTGCGGAGAGACCCGGTGCATCTGCCTCGCGTTTCTTTACGGTTCACCAAAAGGGCGACTGAAGCCATCTGAAAAGCCGCAGAATTTCCGGATGCTGCCGTTTCTTCAGAACGTCTGCAGTGTAGAGAAAGATAAGGCATTTTTGTTTTTGGTGGTCATGTCAGTTCACGCTTGGCGCTTATCTGACTGGGGCTGCCGGGGGGGACTTTGTTTGGATTGAGCAAACACTGAAAAAGACGACACTCGGAAGGGATCGGGGGGAGCGCTGATGATCACGACGAGCCGCGTCGTTGCGGTCCACGGACTTTTAATAGTGCTCTTTGAAAGAGCCAGAGTTGATCATTGCTAACGCCCCCCTTATGAGCAACGGCAGCAGAGAACATCCCTGCGGTGAACGAGATGCTATTTGCCTTAGTTCTCAGAATTTCATTCTTCCAAACGGCCAAATTTTTTTCCGCCAAAAAAATTCCTCATCGGTGGGGCGCCACTGATGACGACAGTAGCTCAATCTCTCGCCACTTGGCTTTCAGTACTCGCTCCCGCGGATCGGAAATGACGCGGACCAAACGAGGCAGAAGACATGGACGCCGCGGAGTCTTGGTGTTTCGGGCTGCGTGCTGGGAAAGCAGCACCGGCAAGTACCCCGTCAAACGACGAGTCACGACGGCTCTTCAAAAGAAATCAAAGACGCTCTTAAAACATGGGAAAAGGTCACCATTCACGCCAACTTGATTTCCGGGGCTTGCCCAGCTGGCGCTGCCGACAAAGCCCGCCGGGTCACGCCAAACATCCTCGGGGGGGCCGGGGGACTCCATTTACATCGCAGGCCTCCCGCTGACGCTCTTGGACAGCCCCCAACAATGTCTGCAGTCGGTCCACGTTGACTGAAATCCTCCTCGCGGCTTGGTGTCAAATGTCACATCCTTATCGGAAGAAAGCCTCGGAGCTCGCAAACAAGTGACGCCTTTCGCTACGTCAACGCAAGCGGTTAGTCTGAATTATGAACGTGTCATCGGGGTTTGGGAATCAAGATCAGTCAATGCAATCGACTAAGAGAACCTGTCAAGTGAATTTACAGTTTTCGAAATACATTGCACGTGTTTGAAGATAATTGCTGGAAATGTGAGAAGACGGAACTGTTTTTCACCATTTCAGTTTTCCTGATTTTGGGGGCATGGCTAAAACGGCGCCTCGTGACGCCCTTAATGCATCTGGTCTGGCCACTTCAGAGCACCTCGTCGTAGGCCTCGAGTGTTTTCATGTCATGGAGAGAAGGTGAAAGAGCGAGGGGGGGAATTGTCGAATTGTCGTGACTCATTCCTAAAATAACTCTGTGCGATATATTTCAGCCACGGGAGGCCTGAAGCACATGTATTTTCCAACACGTAGTGATGCGTACACCTAAGAAAGATGCCAAATGAAGTAGCGTCCCGTTTTCCAGGTCGTTGCAGTGACATCTGATTGACAGTTGACCACAGAGCAGAGTGTGGTTTCATTCCAAGAGCAGAGATAACATTTTTTAAAAAAACACTTGCCAGGACTGATTTTGAATTGAAACGCGAGTATGTGATCGTGGTAACGAGGGAGATTGAAACGCTCTCAAATTGACAGCTGTCTGCGTCCCCACCACATTCGCAGTGAAACTTTGTAACGGTTGGTTTGCCAACAGTCATGGGGGGGAAATCTTGAAACGGTAACTAAATGTTAAAAAACACTCTTAGTCGCTGTTTTTTGGTGAAAACAAGTGCTGGGGGGAAAAAACCCGACAGTTTCCTTTTTCTCTGAAACATTGATTAAGGATTAAGCATTCATTTATTGGTGGCGGGCAGACCGGCTAGTATTACATGTTTGAAAAGATTGTTTATAATTAGATAAAGACAACTATGATTTAACTGCTGCAATCTGCATACTATGTGCATGACAAAAGAGGGGGCCTGGACGCCAGAAGTAACAAGCATGCGCTGCAATGTGCGCGGAACACTGTTGACAAAGTGCACGATTTTAATTAACCGCGTCAAACCGCAAAGCTGCATTTGTGCTTTCATTCAAACAAGGACGGCTGGAAAGAGTTCCGACAGCACACCTTAACCCGGCATGGGTGCGATACATCAAGACCAGACACGGCACCGATTAACAACACGTTTAGTCGAAATTGGACGCGGTTCCTTGCGCCGCTCAGGGACCCGTTCGAGTGGCGAACATGCAGCTGAAACTTGGAATGTATGTCGAGATAGAAAGTAGAGAAGATTTCAAACAACGCCGAATTGTATACTAGAGTACAAAACGTGTGTTTGAAGAAACGTGATGGGATTACTCAACGGGGTAATGGAGAAATGTGTAGTTGATAAAACGGGGGAACATTTTAAACGGGGTTTTGCAATAAGCCTTAAAAGACGAGGGGAAATGTATCCACCAGCATACAACGCGCGTGTACATGTGCGCGTGCGTGTGTGTGTGCGAGGAGGGGGGGGGACAGATAAGCGTAATAAATAACCCCCCCAAAATGGTCAATGGAATAAACACCTCCGTTTGATTTGTGTCGGAAATTAAATAAATAATTTGGTTCTAACGTAGAAAAAAAAATGAAAAAAACGACCGCCCGCCACGCAGACAGCCGACGAAGCATGTAAAGCGGATTCGCTGCAACAAAAGGTCCACAAGCACACCCGCTGTCATTTCAAAACAGTTCAAGACAAACACAAATAACGCGGATAACATCGCCTGAGGCACTTTGAGGGGCGAAGCCGATATACCGCTACGTACCCACCTTCTCATTGAGTCCAATGATTTGCTCCATTTTGTCGTCGCTCTGTAAAAGCTCCCTCAGCTCGCCGGTGCTCAGAGCCCGGTAGCCGTCGGGGCAAGCGGCGGGGTCCATCGCGGGGAGTTTGTACGTCCTTCAAAATGGACAAAAGACAGTTTGGGGAAGGCAAAAAGTCCTCCTTCGCGCGGCCGGCTCACATCTCGCTGCTGCGGCTGGCGGCTCACGTTGCAGTGCGAACTCGACGCGACTAACAAGCTAAGCTCTCGGGTGTGTACCTCAATGTGGGCCACTTCTTGTTAGCTCCCGCCAAAGTAAGACCCCACGGCGGATATGCGACTTGGAAAATAAAAGCTCAACTTTGCTTCGAGGTGACGAAAGTACGCAGAAGGTACAATGGAACCTCGCGTACTTCGATTCACACGTTCATGGATTTCAACATTCTTATAATTTTTAAATGTTTTTTGTTGTTGTTGGTGGTGGTGTTTCTGGGTGGCAACCCCCGTTTTTCACAGATAACACTTATTTGAGGTTCAAACCCATGTTTTGAAGTTTTTTTTTGTCTTTACGCTTAGAAAGAAGTACAATTGTGCCTTAACTTGTGAGTATAATTCGTAACTCAAAACACACAATGTCTCAAATCATCCTTTCCCGTTGAAATGAATGGAAATACCACGAACCAGAGGTGTCAAATCCAAATCCGGAAAGTAAAAAGCCTGCCACAGTTTGGCTTTACTCATAGGTCCAAACATCCTTTATGGCTTCAGTACAGCGATGTTTTGTAATACTGCAAAGCCCGCACTTGCACTGATTAAAGCTCTTAAGACCAAATGAACTGAAGTGACTGACATTATGATTAGGGGGTTAGCGCAAAGGGATATGTTTTATTTTTCAGCCGCCGGCGTGTGAAAAAAAGCCAGCCCCAGGCAAGCAGTTCACAATTATGAAGACAGCTTTGAGCCCACTTGTCACTTGTCGCAACAGGGGAACTGCTAGCAAGTTACGTTTTTGGTTTTTTGTTTTTTTTTTTTGGTGGGAGGGGGGTATTATTTATCAGCATCAACCCTTACATACTAGCTCATACAACTTGCATCAAAATCCTTTTTTTTGGCTGCACTTCCTTCAAAATAGAGGCGAAGAACCTACAATGTCAAATAAAGTATGTCATATTGGTAAGTTAATTAAAAAAAAAAGTTAACTGCTAATGTAGCATTAGCAGGTAATGTTAGCGGACAACCCCACAACTCAGAGTCTTCATGACGCTACCAAAGGTGGCATTATCTCATCCTTGAAGAAATAAACACCTTATCTTGGGTCAATACCTCAATGGAACACATATCAGGTGGCTGTCAAATGAAAAAAAATGCTTAGAATTTGCAGTGCCACCGTCTGGCAGTTTCTTCTTCATTGCGTTGGCCCCTGACCAAATGGAGACTCAACCAATATCATCGTAGTCCTTCTCATCTTGGTTTTCGTCTTCGACGTCGTCATAGTCCTCTGCCGTGTCTTCCGCCAGCTCCAGCACCTCCTCGCACGATGGAACCAGAGGGAACGCTTCTTCGTCTTGATCCTCTACCTCCACATAGTCTGGCTGCTCATCGGGGATCTGCTCGTAGTTGTGAAGGCGGGTCAGGTTCTGATCTTGGTGATGGAGATTGCTCAGGGTGCGATCTTGGGTGTGGGTGGAGTTCTGATCTTGGTTTTGGCGGGTGCCTAGATTCTGATTTTGGCTCAAGAGATTGCTCAGGTAGTGATCTTGGATGTGGACATGGGTCAGGGTGAAATCATGAGTGTCGGGGGGTGCAGTCTTCTGATGGAGTTTATGTAAGTTGGTCAAGTTCTGACCTCGGTTTTGGAGGTCTTTCGGGTTCCAATCTCGGTCGTGGTCATTGTTGAGGTGCCAATCTTGGTTATGGAGTCTTCCCGGGTTCTGAACTTGGTCATGGAGATTGCCATGGTTCTGGTCCTGGATCTGCATATGTTCAGGAAGGTTGCCCTTGTTCTCCTCATGGTCACGTAGGTCATGGGATATTGTTTTTTGTCTTTGGTTGGGAACCTCTGCAATGTTCTCATAGCTCTGGCCCTCTAAAAAAACAGAACAAGAGGCCAAATTTTAACAAACCCTGACAGATAATTTTGATTTCTCCTGATTAAATGGAGGAGTTAAAAATGACTTTTGGTTTGTCTGCTAACTCATCTGCCATAATAAGAATTATCGTTGATAAACGTTAATTTTACCTTCCGACCCGAACTGGGTGCGAGGGGGCAAGGGCGGAATAGTCTGGTTCCGCTCACGGTATTTGTCATCCCTGAGAGATACAACGGAAAAAATGTTCAAGTAAATATTGTGTCATTAAAAAAAAAAAAAAAAAGAAAAAAAGTTGTTTATAGCAGTATATTTTCTACTTTGGGGGAAAATATTTTTGTACACAAAGTCCCGTTTTTTTATTCAATTTTCTATTTTAACTACGCCAAATTTAGCTGCCTGTGAGCAAGATTAGAATAAAGACGCAGCTTGCACAGCAATCTATGAAACATATCAAAAATGCTTGCAAGAAAAGTCAAAATCAAGTCATTGAAACTTTTCCATGTTGGGGAAATACGCTATACTAGGTGACCTTCACAACTCTGTCAAATCAACAACTTAGGCCAACTTCAACATGACTTTTTGGAGTTAAACTATAAAACATTTCACATCTATTTGTTTTACTTGTCCTTGGAGCCTTTGTAGCGCTGCGAGGATCCGTCTTTCTCTGTAAAAACAAACAAACAAACAAAAGGAGAAGAGCACAACACGTAAAACAATAAGCAACCAAAGGAGGAGTTAAAAATAGATCAACATGATTGAATGTTATTATCCTCTTCATTCACTTGGGGGTCACCGAGTCGAAACATCGCACGTCTCAGTTTACCCAAAACATTCATTCAAGTTTCATCGCGGCGAATCAAATATGGACGTGAACAATGGAAATTCATACATTGATGATCTTTTGTGATGTGTGCAAGCACAAAAATATGGTAATAGTGCGCAGTCAGAGTGGATGCATTAGCTCAATGTTAACCATCGAATGACTTTTTTTTTTCCCCTTTTTGTTTTCGGTGTCATTCAAAAGATGTAACGCATAAAAGGAACACGTTGAAGAAGGTTTATGCGGAATATACTTCAATACAACACCAGCCAAAATGATAGAGAGCACAACCACGCATTCCTCATTCTGCTGGCGAGCCAACTCTTGTCCTTTCTTCAATTTGCCGCGAAATTTGGCTGCTCAATGTTGCCACAACTGCTGGCGAGGTCGAATTGTATTTTCGTTGTGAAGCTTCACAACGTATCACATACGATTTTGGTCACAGGTGTGGCTAGCTACATGAACTTGGGAAGACGTATTGGACTCCAAAACATTTTTGACAGTACGTGGGAGCGGTATCCTTTTTGTGGAAGGTTCTCAGCGATTTCCTTCTCAACAAAAACATTGGTGAACATGTGGGTATTGAAACTAAATTAGACCCTTGAGTTGAGAAATAAAACTCCATTGCTGATTTCTTTTCTTTCATGGAGGAAAAGCAAGCATAAAATTGCTGCGTCATGATGTCTGAGAAGCTCAAGAAAGTTTAGCTTGGAACGGGAGACCGTGCTTGGATGTTACACCAGAATTCCTGGGGAAGAAAAAAACTCCACTGAGGTCTGTGGTTTCTTCACACTAACCGAGTTGTGTTTTGGGTTGGGTTCACCGCAGTACGTATTACGTACGGCATCTGCCATCAGTGCATTTCATCAACAACAACAACAAAAAAAAATCTGTTTTAATCTTATTTTTAGCTCTGATGTGTAAGGCCTCAATCTCACAGATGATGAAGAAGAAAAAAAACTGTGACCAAACCAACCGTTCTTGGAGATGCACTTGTTGATTAAGGCGAAAATGATGCCGATGAGCAAACACACAAAAATGATCGCGAGCATCAGCCACAACCAAAAGTACTGTCGTAGAAGATCCATTGGCAATTAGACAAAGTTCCAGAGGAATCAAAGAGACAAGTCGGAGTCGCTGCTGCTTACAAGAAAGAAGAAGCAAAGTGCAATTGGAAAGAAGAGCATCAACTACTTCCCCTTTTTGATACTTAGAATATCGCGGCAAAGCAGACGATCACCTAAATGTGGCATCTCTTGGGACTTGTGACTCAGCCAAGTTCATGCACTGGAAAGCGGCAAAGTTTTCAAGCGTGTTGATGTGCATTATTAGACAAAAACACACACAAGTCCGCATATCATGCCAACACATGAGGATGGGGCTCTCTTTATCTGCATCCTCTCCAGGTTGCAGCTCCCCATCAGCTTCCTTTTGATGATGACGCATCACATACTGCAATATATTCGTAGCATTGGACCAGAAAACAGAGCTTGACAAAGACTGTAATACTGCTTAAAGTAAAATACACCTCATTAGGGGGAAAAAAACAATTATTCATTATATTTACAAAATGCAATATTTTCAAGAAGCTGCTGATGATGTAGTGGTGCACTCGCATGATTTGTGTGCAGGCAACGTGGGATTAGGGGGTGTTAAATTGTCTCGCCTAATGTAAACTTTCTCCTTTGTCGTACCGGCTCACTGGTAAACCTTTTCAATAAACTGAACATTGTGGTCGGCACACCACAAATTTGGCTGTTTTCTTTCGTCTTTAAGAGTCACAACTTCGGAGGACAGTTTCACCTTGAAAATGGCCAGTTCCAAGGTATAGAATGTAGCGACAAAAAAAACCGGTTAAAACAAATGAAAATAATTAGTTTGTTTAGAACTCCAGATGGTGCTCCGGTACTGTAGTTTGCGACACACGGAACCCGGAAGCTCGTACGCCTCCGTATTTTTTAGTTTGTTTATAACTCCAGACGGTGTTCCGGTACTGTAGTTTGCGACATACGGAACCCGGAAGCTCGTACGCCTCCGTATTTTTTAACCGGAAATACGTAATGGTCCACCGCGCACAGCGTCTATTTGGCAAAAAAAAAGCGCCGTATCGGTGGTGGTGTTGATATAGTGTTACCGTGCTGTTTTATAAAATCTAAAGTATTCTATTTACCTTTGACCGCCATTTAATGGCACACAATATGGCTAAGTACACCGGTTATACATTTACTTTGAAGCGTCAAGCGGACGTGGCGTGTATTCTGTTCGCCATCTTGACGCTGCCTGTCATGTTGTTAGCCTGCCTTGAGAGACACTCCTAGCTCGGATCCCCTTCCTCATCGTCAGTGTCCCCCTCCCCACAACAAGCCATGGCCGAGCAGGCCGCGGGAGCCCCTCCGTCGTCGCAGCATGACGGTAACATGTCTCGTGTGTTTCACGACGTTTTACGGCGCATCGGTGTGCGGAAGGTTAGCCTCGCGCTTGGTTAGCGGCCTCGGCATCTTTTGACAACATTAGCTCTGTAGCATCACCCCCATCCCCGATCTACTAACAGGGCGACGTGTCTCACACACACACACACACACACACACACACACAACACACGCAAGGATCGCACTTTCCCACACACCCGCGCGCGCGCGCGCGCTCACACACACACACACACACACACACACACACACTCTCCCCCACACCCGCGCGCGCGCGCGCGCTCACACACACACACACACACACACACACACACACAAGCAGAGACAGTAGGTCACTCATTATCAGCTCATGTTGTGCAAGTGTATTAATGTTAATTGTGTATAAAGTGAGATGTGACAGCATTCCGTGACGCGTTAATATATGTTGATTTGAGCTAACTGGTGTGGCTAGACGTAGCATGTTGTGCTAACTTGCTAAGTGTCATAATGGTGCGTATTAAGCGCCTCATTATTATTATTACTATTGGTGATAACACGCATGCTATTCTGCAGCTACAAACATGGTGTCGTCATTCCGTTCCATCATTTCCCACGTTTCCAATTAGTCCACGTTCCCCACGATAACCTTCTCAAAGCGATCCACACGTTTTGCATGTTTACGTCACGCTTCTCCATCATCACAGTATTCAGCTCATGATGAAGATCTTGGGGAACTTGTTGTCATGTTCCCGAAATGCGCCCAATATTATCACCTCGTTTCTTGACCGTTTCAAACCTTTAAAACATTCAGCTCACCGGGACATGTTATGAGCAAGATTATTCTTTACTTCACAAATCCCCATTTTCGCTGTTTCAAATCTCGTTGAAATGAATGGAGATATGATCAAAATGTAACTCGCAGTTCCATATTTCACAACTTATTCAACTCATTCAAAGTATTCCAACTTTCAATTCTTCACTTGTTTTTTCCACTTGCAATATTCCCAAAGCAATGGAAAACATTCACACTTTTAAAATCCTGCCTCCACGTTTCTCCACAAAGCCAAACCATTCCAAAAATAATGTTCCGCTCATTCGTGAGATAGTAATAAGAATATTTCTGTCCACAATCTGAGGTAGTGTCAGATCATTGGGGGGGAAAAAAAACTGCCAATTTGTCCTTTCAGACGAGCTCCAACAGCGAATGGAGGCCCTGGAGCGGGAGAGGGCTGAATTCGGCAAAGCCAAGCAGCAGCTGGAGGCCGAGTTCAACCAGAAGAGAGCCAAGTTCAAAGAGCTCTATTTGGCCAAAGAGGGTAAGAGAGCGCCTCGCTGTGAGAATTTACTCTAAACTGGAATTCACAATGGCGCAGTCGCAAATAATTCACGTGATTTATGCGCACACAGTTATGCGGTTGTATCCAATCACCACAACTTTTCTCCGAGTTCCAATACAGTGCGTCTTTATCGCCCATCGGCCCAATCGTCGAGGCTGCCGCAATGTGATGATAATTCTGATGATAATCCCGAAATTGGTTTGGTTTCATTCTTCTCCAGAGGATCTGAAGAGGCAGACGTCAGCTCTGGAGTCGGCCCAGGCCGAGCTGAGCGCCGCGCAGGCCCAGCTGACGCAGGCCCGCTCCGAGATCGAGACCATCAAGGCGGTGGCCACGGTGTCGGAGAACACAAAGCAGGAGGCCATCGATCAGGTCCGCGGCCAGTGGCAGGAGGAGGTGGCCTCGCTGCAGGCCATCATGAAAGGCACGTTGAGACCCCCCACCCCCACCCCCAAAAAAAAAAGCAGCTGCGGCTGTAACCGAGCACATGACGTGGCATCGGCTCATAGCTCAAAATAGATCCTTGTGCCGTAACGCGCGCGTCACGTCCCGCCTCAGAAACGGTTTGCGAGTACGAGGTCCAGTTCCACCAGCGTCTGGAGCAGGAGCGAGCCCAGTGGGGCCAGTACCGCGAGGCCGTGGAGAGGGAGGTGGCAGACCTCAGGCGGCGACTCAACGAGCCCCAGGAGGAGCAGAACCTGGAGGACGACATGAAGAAGGTACGCTTGCTGCTCACCTTGAGCAGAGCCGCCTCTCACGTCATGCAAACCAAAACACATCACAAGTGGCAACTCGTCGGTGGTGAGCTAGAAACGTAGCCGCCTACATTTTGTGCCCCCCCCCGCCACAAAAGCTATTGTTTTCATTATATTTTGCAAAATCTACAGCCGAATGATACCTCAATGCAATGCGCCCACTGTACTTGCTTGCTCGAAAGGCTCAGGAGGATGCGGAAAAGCTCCGTTCGGTGGTCATGCCCATGGAACAGGAGATCGGCACGCTCAAAGCCAAGCTGTCCACGGCCGAGGACAGGGTCAAGGAACTCGAGGCGTCCAAGGTGAAGCTTTTTATCATCCAAACGTTGCGAGAATGAGGGCGCAATAAAGTCATAACATTAAAAAAAAAAAAATGATGCCAGGTGAAGGAGCTCAACCACGTTTTGGAGGCGGAGAAGTCGTGTCGCACCGACCTGGAGATGTACGTGGCCGTGCTCAACACGCAGAAGTCGGTCCTGCAGGAGGACGCCGAGAAACTACGGCGGGAGCTTCACGAAGGTCATTGAAATCCAGTCCAAATATTCGTGGCCGTATGGGAGCCTTTCATGTACATCGATGGACGTCTTTTCATCTTGTCAAGATTGGTCATGATGCATTTGCCGTGTCGCACTGAGGATGTCCCGTGGCGTTATTTTGCCAGTTAAAAAAGTCATCATAGAACCACAAAAAAAGATGCAACGTGAAAAGAACAAAAACATTTCAATTTCTATTCATTTCATGGACACAGTCGTAAAATGAGAAAGAAAAAAAATCTTCAATTGAAAGCCCCCCCCAATTTTGTCTCCCTGCTTTTTTTTTTCTTTGTACGCGTTGGTCGGGTCCAGTGTGCCACAAACTGGAGCTGGAGCGGCAGCAGCACAACCAGCTCAAGCACACGTGGCAGCGAGCCAACGATCAGTTCCTCGAGTCCCAGCGCCTCCTCATGAGGGACATGCAGAGGATCGAGAGCGTGCTCTCCTCCGAGCAGCTGCGGCAGGTGGAGGAGATCAAGAAGAAAGACCAGGTCCACAGTCACCCGGCGGAGAAAGTTCAAATGCCGTTTTTGCACCCGTGAATTCCCGTATGGGCCCGCACGGGCGTTTGCCGGCTTGACGCCGCGTCTCTTGCGCCTCGCAGGAAGACGACGAGAAGGAGAGGCTGAGCCAAATGAAGGATCTGCACGAGGAAGACGGCGCGGACAACACGGAGCCCTTGGAGGACATCTTCCTGGGCTTGAGCGTTGAGGAGGTGCCGGATGACTCTCACCTCATTTTGCAAAGCAAAGTCTTTGGTGGATTTAAAAAAATTGGATTCTTCTCAAAAGACCACGGTGTGGCTTGGGACAATTAGCCCAAAGGATGATGATAAATAATTCGCGCTCGTTGTATGGTGACTTTCTCCGAATATTACAAAAAAAAAAAAAAAAAGTTGGTCAATAACCGCATCGGTGAAGGTTTGCTTTGCCTTCATTTTTGGCTTTGTCCTCCCCAGGCGCCGACCAACCACAGCGCCCACGGCTCCATGCACTCGCTGGACGCCGACTTGGTGCCCGGCGGCCCGCCGGACCCCTACAGGGAGAACCTGCGGAGGGTGCAGTCCACCGACAGCCTGGGCTCCTCCCTGTCGGCCACGCCGGGCCTGAACCACAAGGCCAAGTCGGCCGGCCACTTGGACGAGTCCGACTTCGGGCCCCTGGTGGGGGCCGACTGCGGCGCGGCGGACGCCGGCTTGGGAGACGGCGGCTCCGTCGGCTCCGTCAAGCTGACGGCCAGCCACTTCCTGCTCACCAAAGACCAGGAGAAGGCCATCAAAGCCATGACGCCCGAGCAGGAGGAGACGGCGTCGCTGCTCTCCAGCATCTCGCAAGCCCCCGACGTCGCCTACTTACCCCCTGCCGGCTACCGACTGGTCAGCGACAGCGAGTGGAACCTGCTGCAGCAGGAGGTGCGTTGAAATAGCGAAAGCAATTGAGGCCCAGCCAAAAATGGAGCGGCTGGCCTCCGCAGGATTTGGGGGGAAAAATGCACCAGAAATGCACATCTACACAACCTGCGCTAAATTTAAGCTCCTCCCCACATGAGGAAAATTAGGTCACATCGGCAATAGTGAACCGTGACTATGTGGGTGGGGGGGGGGCATCAGTGTGCCTAATGTTGCGTCCCCGGCGGGCTTTGTTTGCCACCTCAGGTGAAGAACGCGGGCAGGAAGCTGGGCCGCCGCTGCGACATGTGCTCCAACTACGAGAAGCAGCTGCAGGTCATCCAGGGCCAGGAAGCCGACACTCGAGATCAGGTCCGCCCTCGCCGTGGTCGCGGCGCTCCGCCTGCGTTTGGGCCCGCTCTCCGTGCCGAGTGTTGACGGGGGAAGCGTTGCGGCTCGCTCCGCAGGTCAAGAAACTGCAGGCGATGCTGCGGCAGGCCAACGATCACCTGGAGAGGAGCGTGGCCGAGAAACAAAGCCTGGAAGATTCCGTCAAGCTGGGGAACGAGGAAACCGCCGCCAAGGTCACTTGACGTTTTTCAAACTGGGTTTCGGTTGAACTGCCAAATGTTTCACTCGTAGGGCCTTTCTTTTGCGCAGCAGGTGTCGGCCCTCGTCCGACGAGTCCAGGAGTCGGAAAGGCTGCTGGGCACGCTTCAGGAGGCCTTCGGCGAAGCCAAGAGGAACACGCAAGGACAGATGGTGAGCGTCGGGCGCGGCACCCGGAGGGCGCGGCCTTCCTCACCTTTCCTTGTGCTTTTGAGGCCGCGCTGGCGCAGTCGCGCGAGCAACTGGCCGACGAGCTGAGCCGACTCCAGCGGGACAACGAGAGCCTGCAGGGAAAACGCCGTCTCCACTCGGAGCTGCTGCAGCAAGACGGCTTCGCCATGCCCGACAATGTGCAAGTAAGTGCTTGCCCGTCACCAACGCGGACAGGGAAACGCGGCCAGCTCTCGATTTTGGTCTTTAGTTTTACACCTCCCACACACTCATCGCACCTTTGAATTTATGAAGCACGCTCAAACTATTCAGTACAATCCCGTAGAGTTCTATTTTCCATCCGAAACTTTTCACTCATTGTGAATGTGTCTGGAAACGCGAGTTCACTGTGTACTCTTAAAAACCCAGAAAAGAAAAAAAAGATGGACCACCGTGTCATCTTGCTTCCCTGTCTCGCGTGAACAAATGTTTCGATCGCGTCGCGGCGGGCCCAGGAGCTCCAGGCGACGGTGCTGCGGCTGCGCGAGGACACGGTGACGCTGCGGACGTCGGCCGAGCACACGGAGGAGAAGCTGAAGGCGGAGATCCTCTTCCTCAAGGAGCAGATCCAAGCCGAGCAGTGCCTCAAGGAGAACCTGGAGGACACGTTGCAGACGGAGATCGAAGGCTGCAAGGAGGAGATCGGTGAGACTCCCCAACACCCGTTGCCACTCGCCATCCTCAGCCTCAACCGACATTTTGGTGGCTTTATTCGCGGACGAATAACACCAGCGTGTTGACACCGGGATGAGTCATGAGCGTGTGGTATTTTTTAATTTTTTTTAAATGGTGATTCTGTCCCGGTGTGTCTTCCCAAACAGCTTCCTTCTCCGGTTTGAAGACGGAGCTGGAGCGGATAAAAATAGAGAAGGAGCAGGTTAGATTTGTTCTCCAATCGCACTTTGAATGTTTGAAGTATGGAAAGCCGCTTGAGCCACTGAAGTGAATTTCATTTTTGATGTCGGATCACGTTACGAGTAGCCCACAGTTGTCAACTCGTGCTCACTCGTAACACGCAGATGGCCCACAAGTGGGCTCTCCAATGTTGTGCTGAAGTAAGAGTGGAAAAAGTCAGACAGTCGTTGGACGAGTCCACCCAAGTCGGTCCACTCGTGGGCCTTACTAGTGAGGACAAAGATTTGGGCTGCGGCGATCGCATATTTGGACAGTCAAATATTCAACGACGAATCGGATAAAATTAAGCTGTTTGTTCAGTATCCAGCTTGAGGTTGCTCCCGTCGGCCAAAGGTGGCACTGGTAGCGGGATAAATGTTGCTAGTGAGACACAGTGAGTCGTTCTGCTCGTGTGCAGAATTGTCTTTGGAGTGAAAAGACGGCATCGGAGCACACGGATCTCACCCGTGTGGCGGGGACTCAAACGGCTTTCCATATTCGGCTCCCTCAGTCGACTTGCCCGTTGACGCCCCGTACGTTTGTGCGTGCAGTTGCAGAGCAGTTTGTCGCAAAAGTCGGAGAGGCTGGAAAGCATCTAATCTGTCTGGACGTCGTGGTTCACGTCAAACTTGCACTGTGTGCGTGTGTGCTGTAGAGTGCGCTAGAGGGTCAGGTGTTTGAAGAGAAAGACAGAGCCCAGCGCTTGCAGACGGAGCTGGATGTCAGCGAGCAGGTCCAGAAGGACTTTGTCAAGCTTTCGCAGACGCTACAGGTAACACTGAAAAAAAAAAAAAAAAAATGCTTTGAATTTTTAGTCCACTTGCTTTTTTTGCTGCTTTTTTTTTTTTTACATTCTTCACATCTCAAACCATTCCAACTTGGATAGATTCACAAAGTTCTCAACTCAAGTGTATTTCTCGAGCACTTGAATATTTTCAATGAATTTCCCCAATGACCAGAAGACATTTTTGGCATTGCCCTCTTTGCACATTTCTTGATCGCTTCCAACTTGGCCTCTGACATTTTTGACATTTCCGCAAATGCCGTCACGGCCGCTTCAGCTGTCGGGCATTCCCACGCAAATTGTAGACGAAGGCCATTCTTGAGTCGCCCGCCGTTTTTGTCGCCAGGTGCAGCTGGAGCGAATACGACAGGCGGACTCTTTGGAGCGAATCAGACTCATTCTCAACGACACCAACTTGACTGACATCAACCAGCTTCCGGATACATGATAGCGCGCCTGCGGGGAAAAGTGCCTCCTCCCTTCTTTCTTTCTCCATCCCCCGAACATGATCGATCTATCGATCGATCCTCCTCCCTCTCCTCCTCCTCCTCCTCCTCCTCCTCGTAAGCGTCACGAAAGAAGCGAAGGCAGGTAGGAAGGAGCGAGGCTGGCCTTTTTATGTACATTCAGTGGTGGAGTCGTGATGAAGAAAGAGCACTACTCAAAACATTGCAAACGTGCATACGGATGGTTGGTCTTTCCTGTGGATGTCTTGCTCCTACTGTAGATATGACTCTTTTAAAAACAAAATTCTGATTAGCTTTAAAAAATAATAATACCAGATTGGTCCATCATCGTTCATCTCGTTTGTTGGTCATCTCATCCCTTTGATGTGATGGGGTTTTTTTCCCCCTCCCAACACCAGGGGCTCTCAAACTGGGGTCCAGACCTCAAGGCTTCACAGAATACTGTAAAAATAATCCAACAATAATAATCAATTATTTTCTCTCATTTCAAGTATATAACCCCCGCCCCCCCAACAAAATACATTTGTTTAGAGGAAAAATATCCAGAGCAATGCAACTTTTTTTTTCCTCTTACACAAACACTTGCCCCTCGACATTTAGCGGCCCACATAATAGTTCTGCTCAAAGTCTCTCCCCGCTACCTGGTCAAGTTTGAGAATGCCTCTTTTGCACCCTACAACAATGACACGAGATGGACCAAATGGAATTGTTGTTGCACGAGAATCCAATCCAAAAGGCAACACTGCTGTCTTGCAATTTTTCTTGGAGAAACTCGTGCGACGTGAGTTTAATTCTTCAGATTTTACCCCCCCCCCCCTTTTTTCAGGTGAGTACAAAGGACATCCGTGTGTGTTTGTGAAACTGCAGACCCTCCAAACTGGAACACCTTCCCAAATTGCTCTCATTTCACAACCCAGAGCCCGGCATGGAAAGATTCAATCGTTGCCGTGGACGTTAAATTTGTCAAAAGGCAGTCCAAAAGCCGTGCGCCACGGCGTATTTGCCAAGGGTGTTTTTCAACAGGTGGGTACAGAAGAGGGTCACCTTGTTCGAGAAGTTCAAAGCTTGTACTTAACTGTAATGACGCACGGATCCCTGTAGATGGCGGCAATGAATCGCTTTGGATTCAGGTCAAAATCTCGCCTCGTCTCATGTTGATTATGAACGAGGGGACGCCAGCACGTTTGAAGTCAAGACAAGTTTCGGCACCTAGCAGGCAAGAGTAACCTATGATGTCAACAGTTTGTGTCGTGGGTGGTTGTCGAAAGCGTGGAAGCATCGTGAATGGCAAACAGATTGTTAAATAAATAACAATCACCCACTTTCATCTTGAGTCATGCAGCGAGTCACCGTTGCCCACTGTGCATATTTTCAGTTTTTGTGCACTGTCTTAGTCTTATTTTTGTGGCTTTATAGTTTAGCGTCACAAAGGCATAAACACAATGTCAGCATTAAAGTCACTGTTTGACTTGAAATGATTTTTGGGACAAAAAGACCGCTTTCTGTGTTTTTCGGTCAGAGACCTTTTTTTTTTTTTTTTGGAGACCAGTCCATGTTCTACTGTCAAATAAGTAAAGAACGCAAAACAGGAACTCTGGGTTGAATACAGCTGCCTGTGAATGAGTCAAGTGTCCTGAAATAAAAACTCCTCACCATTTGAAGTGAAGTCAATCATATTTTTATCCTGTGTTGACACTCCCCCCCCCAAAAAAAGGATGTCACGCGTGCCGCTCGTGGCATCGCACCGTGCCCACCCAGGGGTTCCTCTCGCTTATTTGCTGTCTGGGCAAATCTGCCACATCCAACGTGGCGAACGCGTTTGCGTGTCGCGCACCGACCAGAGCCAAAGTAGAGGCTGTATCGTGGTGTAATACACCAGTTGGCCGACAGGTTCCGTGTTCGGCGCGGTGCTGCTGCTGCTGCGCTACTCGGTCAGGAAGAAGACATCGACGCTACGGCGAGGAGGGCGGGGAAAAAAGTCACCCACTCTTTTTTTTTTAACGACACAATGGAGCATAAAATGCATTATACGATTTCAACGCGTGGTTTACTGACTGGATTTATGGTTTTAATTCTCTCGGGTGAGTGCAAAGTAGTCATGAATTTTGTTATGTTGTTTTTTTACTCCCCGCCCTCTTTTCCCCGGGCGGGTAGTCATTTCAACGCACCCGACGACGTTTTCTTGAGAATCATTTTCGGGGGACACCATCACGCAATTTCTCTCCTTAATTAATTTAAAACTCATGTGTTACAATTTGTACAATTTTTGTAGATTTTTGCGTATTGTCATCTTTAAATCAAAGACAAAGCATAAAAATTGTGTGATATGAAATATTCCAATTCATGTTTTATATATATAGATTTATATATATGTTTTGGTCACAGCACAGTACCGCTTTTGTTGTCCATAGAGGGCAAAAATACAAAGAAAAAAATAAGAACTATATGTGTATGTATAGCGCTGATGCCACTGAACATGTCGAGTGGTTGAAAGTAAAATAAATATTCAGGAATAATACTTTTATAATTTTTGTAAAATTTTATGTTGCGTTATATAAACTTATTTACATCGACTGCAGCATAAGGGTAAAACGTCGCATATTGAGAACCTCTCGTTAACATGGTCGAACTCGTCCCAGGCTCGCGTCGCGTTAGAAGAAGTATCGCATCAACCCTACCTCTCTCAAGGAAGTGAGCTAGTCGGAGGTTTTGCAAAAGAGCGGAAACAAAACACAAACAAGCCCGGTCGGCCTCTCTGGGGCCGCGAAACTGCATGCATTTCTCGATTAAAATAACATTTGCCCGCTGTGTTAGTCAAATTGGTATTCATCGGGAAATATAATGCAGCAGTCAATATATATAATCAGTCAATACTATTGATGGATGTTGATAACCTACACCTGCGTAGGAGCCAAAACATTTAGCCTGTACTGGAGTCATAGGTTTCCCAGTTAAGGTCACCTGGGTCGCCGATTTAGGCATGAGAGAACACACAGAACGAGCTGTCTTGTTGTAACTCTTCGACATGGACAAAACGTATTTATACCACAAGTTAGTTTCTTCCGGAACGTTCGCCTCAATGTTGTTCCAGTTATACTTGTCGTGGTTAAGTCCATCTTTTCGGTCTCGTTGTCAGCCGAAACATTTCCTTGTTGAAACCCCCACATCAGTGTTGGAATGGAGGCCAAGACGATCAGTCCGATGAGAAATGCGTACATTATGTAGAAGAGGACATCGACATCGCTGTACCGTCTGACGTGGTCAATCTCCTCAAAAACGTAACGGCTGTGCGAGCACGTTGTCATTTTTCCGGTGAGACTTTGAGGCCGCAGGAGTCCAAATGCGCAATGAGCAACCCGGTGGCTTCCAAACAACGAATCTCGGATGGTGCGGCGGGAAGAAGATCGTCAACATACTGAATGAGTACGACACCATCTGAAGGGTGGAAAGAGGAGAGCAAGTGCTTGAGCACTTGATTAAAAATTCCAGGGGACAAACTGAATCCCTGGGGCAAGCGAGTATAGCGTAATTTGACACCAAGGTGAGTGAATGAGAAAACATCCCTATGAGATTCTGCTGAAGCGCTGGCCAAATCGATGACAGAAAAATGTGTGTGATGCGGTGAAATAGAGGTAAGCGCAATATACGGATTTGGCACCGGGTCTGTGGGAGTGAGCGCAGGGCTATTTACCAAACGAAGATCATGGACCATTCTATACTTGTCCGGCTCCTTCAGAACTGGCAATATAGGGAGTGTTCCGGGGTGAAGTAGAGTGCTCCAGGACACCTGCTTCCCACAGACCCCGGATTGTTTCGGTGATGCCGTCTACTCCCTTTTGCGGACGCGGGTATTGACGTTAGACAGATTGGTGAGGAAAGCGCGATATCAAACGTCACAGGCTGAATGTCACACTTACCAACATCAGTTGGACCCTGCGACCACACGTGTATGGAAGAGAGGAAAGCATATCCTCTGTTCCTTCCGCATCGGTCCTTTCACAACCATGCGATCTCGTTAGCCAATTCTCCTCCGCTACATTGGTGTCGGGAGTTGCAAGAAGAATTTTGTACATTTGCGTAGACGGTGAAAATAGTACGTGAGGAATTTCGGACAATTGCCAATCGGGGACGTTGCCCACCCGTTTTACCATCGGTCCCAATTCCTTACCCTGATGAGCGGGACTCAACGCGAGAGAGATGTACGCAGCAGCAGTGTCAGACATACGATAGCACTCAACGAGGTCCTCAGGCAGGTCCACCTTCGCTGCCACACCCTCAGGACCTACAATAATTGAGGAGGACGGAACGTTGAATCAATTGCCTTGCATTTCATCTAACCAGGCCATGCCATAAATTTCATCCCGTAGTCTGTCATAAAGCATTGTGCAATGGGGAGGATCGATCGGTGGATGGTATGGCCATAGGGAGGAAATCCATGGGGACCAAAGCCGATACTGATGCATGACGGAGTTCAGTGGTGGATCATCGATTGACTTTAGTGACAGCCGGTAGATGTTCGCTCCCTGGTGGACAACCGGAGGATCGCTGCTTTGTGTCAATAGGCATTGGGAGTTGAAATCATCTCATGGTCACAGCACTCTCCCCATACGGTGGGGGAGGCGCAGACGCCGCGTTATTTAGCGTAACTTTTTCTGTATCATCTTGTCGATTCACTTCTGTTCGAACATGGACGGCGGCAGTCATACCGGCCATGAAATGTAAAACCACCCGAATTGAATCCCAATGTGCGGCTTCCTTCCCTAATTTACGTCTGCTACAGTGAAACTCCTCTACAACGAAACTTACATGGGCGAAAATACCCTCTAGTGTGAAAAAAATCTTCATGCATTAACACCATTCCCACTCTCCTGCCCCCATACAACCCCAAAAAAAACCCTGTTGCGTTATACGAAATCTTTTTCTCTGCTCTTGCCTCGCGACGAGATTCACTACAACGAAGTCTAATCCAACAGCGACCTCTACTGCTTCGTTCGGAAATGGCAACAGCAACCACCACACTGGTTTACACATGCGCAGTAGTCCAGGAAGTATTTGTTATTGTTAGATTCAAATGCAGCATGAACGTTGCATTGCTAAAAATGGCTACAAAACGGACCTTCGGATGTCAAGCAGCTAAGACAAGAAGCGCTCTGACGGAGGAAGCAAAATAAAAGACATGATCAAATAAGTGTATGCTCATACTTATGCACTATTGGAATAAAAATAAAGAGTACACAGACGTTTGTGTGTGTGTGTGTTTACATCTGAGATCAAATTTGCTACAGTGAAAAACCCCCTGTTGTGAAAAATGTCTTGCTGCAAACATGATTTCGTTGTCGAGGAGTTTCACTGTATTCGAAACCCGCTAGTTTCGGCTTCTTCCTTCGATTTCATTCAGCCCACATACCACAGCTTGTTCCAACCTACCACATGTCAGCCAAAGATCGGCACAGGAATCATCATTCGGTAACAATTTTCTCTCCTGTAAATTAGCAATTGCCTTTGTCTTTGTCTCCACTTCCTTTTCCTTTTTTCTCTCATGCATCGCTGGTTCCTGAGCTCGAATACTGTGCGTGAATAGCAAAAAGCTTTTTAAAAACTGCTCAAATGGCGTTTTTGAATGGAATATGCCGAAAAGTTGAATGCACCTAAAAATGTTTGAAAATAAACCTCTCTAAAACATAACATGCAAATGTCAGGTTCTTCGAAGTTCCCTTCCAATATTTCTCCCGTTTTTCAGCCCGCACGCCGACGCTGGCCGTCGACATCTACACCGAGGCCGAGGTGATGGTGGCGAACGGGATGGCGTGCGTCCTCCGCTGCACCTTCGAGTCCAACGAGGTGGTCAGCAGCTACATCACCGTCGCCTGGAGCTTCCAGTCCAATCAGCCCGACAACCAGTTCTCCAAGGCGCCGTATGCGGTGAGACGGGAGCGGGCGCCTCAAAGACTTTGCCGCGCCGATGTTGTCCTTTGACGCCGAGCCAAAGAAAAAGCATGGTGGACAATGTACGTGCACCGTTTGATTTTTTTGGGCCGATGACAAATGGCATGCGAGGATTTTTGCGTTTCCGCATGGCGGAAGCGAGCCCGTGTTTGCAGTCACGCCGGGACGTTTTTTTTTTTATAGTCTCGTTCGACCGTGACACTGGGGTGTTTGAAGCGCTGGAACAGATTGAGAGCAGTTCCGTTCACTCCACTGAGGGGTGAGGGAAACGACCTGTCACCAGCTCAAAAAATGCAGAAATAGGAAAGTAGTCATTGGGACTGTGAAGTGGCGCCATCTGTGCCGGCGCCCAAGGGGGTTCCCACTGCACAATGTAAAGATTCTTTCTTTCTTCCTTCCTTTCCTTCCTTCCTTTCCTTCCTTCCTTCTTCCTTCCTTCCTTCCTTCCTTCCTTCCTTCCTTCCTTCCTTCCGTGGCAGATCTTTTACTTTTCCGACGGGAAAGCGTTCCCCCCACCAAAGGAGTTCAAAGACCGAGTGCAGTTCATCGGCGACATCAACAAGAAGGACGTGTCCATACAACTCAACCCGGCGCAGTTCAGTGACAACGGCACCTACTTCTGCGATGTGAAGAATCCGCCCGATGTCAAGAGCACGCCGGCGCGAACCGAGCTGCGCGTGGTCTCCAGAGGTGAGCGCCGCCCACCCGCCTGCCTGCCAAAATTTGGGCTGAAATTTTGCGATGATCCCGCAATGCGTGGTCGCGCTGATTCTCAAAGTGCCGCGTGGGCGCCCTCTAGTGGTATTTGAAAGAATAACTGCACAAAGAGTTTGTTTTGACCAGACGTCCCAAACTTGGAGTGGCGGCGGCGCATCTTGCCGCTGACACGCGGCTCCACATTCTTGTGTGTTTGTTGACAGTTCTTGGAAAGTGTGCGGCTGCGTGTGGCGGAAAAAAAAACACTGGGCAACATTCCCCAGCAGTAGTGAAGCCTGTCGCAAAGTAAAAACCCTCCCCAGAAGTTGCCCCCCCGCCACTGCTCAAGCACGATTTGATATGAAAATTGACTGTATTTACACTCGAGGCTTCAAATGAGACCATTTGGTGATGCGTGACGGATGCCGCAAGACGGCAGTGGAGTACTTGAAACCGATGGCCAAGCAACCTCCAGCTTGTTCGCCCTCGTGAACGCATGTTCCACCGAGGACGAATTCATCGGGGGTGCAAGCTGGAACAAGTTGACCTGACGTCAAATTCACCGGTGTTGTTGTTGTTGTTGTTGTTTTTTCTGCGTGGGCGGCGGCACTTGCGCAGAATCTCTTCCTCTGGGCTACACGGCTGTCATCGTGCGAATGGTGTGCGGCGTTTTGGCCCTGCTGCTGCTCATCCTGGTGGCCGTCTGCATCGTCATCTAGGTGCTACACAGCCGCCATGATTACGAAGGGTAGGTCGCCCGCCCGCCCGTCTTTCGGCACCCGTCGCGTTGACCCTCCCGTTGACTTCTCTGACCTGATTTGGTTTGCATCTTGACAAATGAGCCGTTTTGATCTTTGCGGTTTTCCCGCTGCCGCTTGGCTAACCGATCCGAACCGAATTGCTTGCCGGCAACTTGACTTGGGTGCGGAACGGTCGGCAACGTTGAACAGGCTGCCTCCTTCCGCGTTGCCTTGCGGCCGTTTCCGCTGGGGCTGTTGGCCATCTTTGGGGTTACTGTTTGCGCCGGTGCCGCTTGCTTCCGTCCCTTGTTTGCTCTCACCGTGCCGTTGTTTGTCCCCCTGGTTTCCGCCGCATGCTCGCTTGGCCCGCTCGGTCACGAAAGCATGTTGCCATTGCCTTCTACTCACATGGCGCATTGCACGCATACCCTCCATCCATTACTTGGTTCTGCATACTACTATTTGGAACAAGACAGTCAACATCCACTACTCACAAAAAGGTTGAAATGCTTTTGGGGGGGGTGGGGGTGCAAAGTAAGCAAGGACACCCATTTCATTGCCTTTCCGAGACTCTTCCCTTCTGGAATCTGCTGGTGAGCGGCTTCCAAAAAAGACCGCAAGGAGGGCGGGGGGGAGAAGAGAAGCAGCCGTCAAACAGGCCAAAATCCACAGGTCATGGGCTTATGGTGCCATCAGCACTTTGCAACGGAGAGACTGGAAGAGTCACAGAAAGTCATAGAAACGGCCGCCCTTGCAAATGATTCCATCCTGAAAATTTTGCGAGTAGTGTCAAGTCCAGGCGGCTTTGGCGCCTCACCCGCCCATCACTCACTTTCATTTTTCTCTTTTTTTTTCTCCTTCATATTTAAATTTTTTATTTGCGCTTCTACAAGCACTGGACCATCAGGTATGTGATGCTGAAAAGAACACTATCCTGTGCTGTGCGTGCATGGGCGTGTGTGTGTGTGTGTGTGTGTGTGTGTGTGTGTGTGTGTGTGTGTGTGTGTGTGTGTGTGTGCGCACGCGTGCGCGCGGGCGTATGTGTGTGTGTGACTTTTTTAGTATCCCTTTTTATTTTCATCTTTTTTTAACAGGAACAATATATAGGACATTGCCTTTTAAAATTGGAACAATTAGATGCATGTAAAACATCAAGCTTCAGTGCATTTGCAATTTACTCCCTGGTCAGGCTTGAGAATGTATTAATTTATATTTACTGAATACAATAAAAACATAATTAATACAATTCGTAAATAGCATCAATAAATACATTTTAGACAATCGTGTATGTGTGAGTGCCTAAGCAATTTAAGTGTAGCAGGTAAATTTATATGCTGTGTCCATGCAGAAATTGTTTTTACATCTATTCGGTTTGTCTTTCTCCACAGACATCAGTAAATGTAAAGACCCGCCAATGCAGCTAGACCGAAAACTGTTTCCAAGGACCCTAATGGGGGACAGGAGGAGGAGCTTCAAGGCAGGCTGGTTCCACATCCACCCCTGGCTTGAATATTCAAAACAGTTGGACTCGGCCTATTGTTACGCTTGCAGACATTTTAGCCCTCCTAATGCTGTTTCTTTCTTATCACTGTAATGTTACGACTGCAATGATTTCAGTTTTATCAAATAAAAAGTCAAATAAGATTTCGAATCCAACAATAATAATCTATTATTTTCTCTCATTTCATGTATATAACCCCCCTCGAACCCCCAACAAAATACATTTGTTTAGAGGAAAAATACCCAGAGCAATGCAACTTTTTTTTTCCTCTTACACAAACGCTTAACAAAGTCACTTTTGCCCCTCGACATTTAGCGGCCCACATAATAGTTCTGCTCAAAGTCTCTCACCGCTACCCGGTAAAGTTTGAGAACACCTCTTTTGCACCCTACAACAATGACACGAGATTGACTGAATGGAATTGTTGCACGAGAATCCAATCCAAAAAGCAACACTGCTGTCTTGCAATTTTTCTTGGAGAAAAATGATTTGCGTGTCGGGCACCGATAGGCCAAAGTGGAGGCTGTATCGTGGTGTAATACATCAGTTGGCCGACAGGCGTCGTGTTCGGCGCGGTACTGCTGCTGCTGCGCCACTCGGCCGCGAAGAAGAGCGACGCTGCGGCGAGGAGGGTGGGGAAAAAAAATCACCAACTCCTCGTTTTTTTTAACGACACAATGGAGCATAAAAGGCATTATACGATTTCAAAGCGTGGTTTACTGACTGGATTTATGGTTTTAATTCTTTCTGGTGAGTGCAAAGTAGTCATGAAATGTGTTATGTTGTTTTTTTTTACCCTCCCTTTTCCCCGGACGGGTTGTGATTTCAGGGCACTCGACGACGTTTTCTTGGGGATCATTTTCTGGCGACACCATCACGAAATTGCCTATCCTTAACGTCGCATATTGAGATTAAGGGCCTCTCGTTAACACGGTCGAACTCGTCCCCGGCTCGCGTCGCGTTAGAAGAAGCATCGTATCAACTCGACCTCTCTCGAGGGGGTGAGCTAGTCGGAGGCTTTGCAGAAAAGCGGAACAAAACACAAACAAGCCCGGTTGGCCTCTCTGGGGCGGCCGCACAATTCGCGAAACTGCGTGCATTTCTCGATTAAAACAACATTTGCCCGCTGTGTTAGTCAAATTGGTATTCGTCGGGAAATATAATGCAACACTCGGTAACATAAAGGACTCAAATGAACCCAAAAATACCCGACGTAGGTGGCAGGCTGTCAAGTGGATCCAGTGTATTTGTACTTAGGTTTTTCATTATTTACGTCAGTAAATAAATACAACTCTTGTCTCTCTCTTCTGATGGTGGTGAATTTCCCTTGTGCATGAATACAGGATCCGAAAGCAACGCTTTGTTGACGTCAGTGTGTCGTGAGGGCATCCGAATTTCTCTGTCAATGAGCGCGTTCTTCATATTCGTGTTGTCTAAAACGCCCTTAAAACAACAGTGAGGCCGACATTGAATGTAAACTGTTCGTTGTGAGCTTAGCATGCACATCCTGAGGTGTGCCAACGGCTGTTTACAACCCGGTACCACATCCCTAACCCGATTCCGGACGTCGATACTGCGATATTTTTGAATAGCCGACGAGACGTAATTATCCCCCCCCCCCCAAAAAAAAATGTATACATGTCGTTTCCCCTAAAATATCAACTAATCATCACAGCCAGGATTGGAGTCGCCGAATAAGTCATGCGTGACAAAATGCTAGATTTTGTTTTTCTTCATTGTATCACAATTTTTTTTTAATGAAAGTGTCACTTCTACTTTTGACTTTTTGAATGGCAGAAGGACTGACGAACGCTCGCTTCCCTGTTTTGGCGTTGCGAAATGTGCGCACGCACTAGATAGTTTCCACACTGACTGCACTTGTGTGTATCGCTGGTTCCTGAGCTCCAATACTGTGTGTGAATAGCAAAAAGCTTTTTAAAAACTGCTCAAATGGCGTTTTTGAATCGAATGTGGGAGAAGTTGAATGCACCTAAAAATGTTTGAAAACAAACATCTCTAAAACATAACATGCAAATGTCAGGTTCTTCGAAGTTCCCTTCCAATCTTTGTGTTTTTCAGCCCGGACGCCGACGCTGGCCATCGACATCTACACCGAGGCCGAGGTGATGGTGGAGAACGGGACGGCGTGCGTCCTCCGCTGCACCTTCAAGTCCAACGAGGTGGTCAGCAGCTACATCACCGTCACCTGGAACTTCCAGTCCAGTCAGCCCGACAACCAGTTCTCCAAGGCGCCGTATGCGGTGAGACGGGAGCGGGCGCCTCAGAAGACTTTGCCGCGCCGACGTTGTTCTTTGACGCAAAGCCAAAGAAAAAGCACAGCGGATGCGTACGTGCGTCGTTTGATTTTTTTTGGGGGCCGATGACAAATGGCATGCGAGGATTTGTGCGTTTCCGTGCGGCGGAGGCGAGCCCGCCGGGTCATGGCGATGACGCAACGAGCTCGTGTTTGCAGTCACGCAGGGACGTTTTTTTTATAGTCTCGTTCGACCGTGACGCTGGGGTGTTTGAAGCGCTGGAACAGATTGAGAGCAGTTCCGTTCACTCCACTGAGGGGTGAGGGAAACGACCTGTCACCAGCTCAAAAAATGCAGAAATAGGAAAGTAGTCATTGGGACTGTGAAGTGGCGCCATCTGTGCCGGCGCCCAAGGGGGTTCCCACTGCACAATGTAAAGATTCTTTCTTTCTTCCTTCATTTCCTTCCTTCCTTTCCTTCCTTCCTTCCTTCCGTGGCAGATCTTTTACTTTTACGACGGGAAAGCGGCCCCCCCGCCAAAGGAGTTCAAAGACCGAGTGCAGTTCATAGGCGACATCAACAAGAAGGACGTGTCCATACGACTCAACCCGGCGCAGTTCAGTGACAACGGCACCTACTTCTGCGACGTGAAGAATCCGCCCGACTTCATGGGCACGCCGGCGCGAACCGAGCTGCGCGTGGTCTCCAGAGGTGAGCGCCGCCCACCCGCCTGCCTGCCAAAATTTGGGCTGAAATTTTGCGATGATCCCGCAATGCGTGGTCGGGCTGATTCTCAAAGGGCCGCATGGGCGCCCTCTAGTGGTATTTGAAAGAATAACTGCACAAAGAGTTTGTTTTGACCAGACGTCCCAAACTTGGAGTGGCGGCGGGGCATCTTGCCGCTGACACGCGGCTCCACATTCTTGTGTGTTTGTTGACAGTTCTTGGAAAGTGTGCGGCTGCGTGTGGCGGCTCGCTCGCCTCACTTGGCAACATTCCCCAGCAGTAGTGAAGCCTGTCGCAAAGTAAAAACCCTCCCCAGAAGTTGCCCCCCCCGCCACTGCTCAAGCACGATTTGATATGAAAATTGACTGTATTTACACTCAAGGCTTCAAATGAGACCATTTGGTGATGCGTGACGGACGCCGCAAGACGGCAGCGGAGCGCTTGAAACCGACGGCCAAGCAATGACGCCGCACCGAGGACGAATTCATCGGTCGTGCGAGCTGGCACAAGTTGACCTGACGTCACATTCACCAGTGTTGTTGTTGTTGTTTTTTTTTTTTTTTTTCTGCGGGGGCGGCGGCGCTTGCGCAGGATCTCTTCCTCGGGGCAACACGGCCGTCATCGTGGGAGCGGTGTGCGGCGTTTTGGCCCTGCTGCTGCTCGTCCTGGTGGTCGTCTGCATCGTCATGAAGGTGCTACACAGCCGCCACGATTACGAAGGGTAGGTCGCCCGTCTTTCGGCGCCCGTCGCGTTGACCCTCCCGTTGACTTCTCTGACCTGATTTGGTTTGCATCTTGACAAATGAGCCGCCGTTTCAGCGCAATGCGACTCATGCCGGAAATCGGGCGACGTGGTGAAATTTCACACTGAGACTTAAATGCACCAAAACTTTCCGGGTGAACTTTATTCGACCTTGGTCGCAAGCTGCCGATGACACGCTCAGCCGTCTGGGTTTTGGCCTCCCCCCCCGCTGCTGCTCTTCTCCCCACCCCGCTCAGACAACTCTTGCAGTCTCTGCTCTAATCCGCCGATGAGACGAGAAGCCCCTCAGCCTTTTTTGCTGGCCCTTCACTTGCAACTAAATGGCCACCTGTGACTAAATTCTGCCCCCCCCCGCCCCCCCACTCCCGGCCCCTCTCACCCTTTCGCCCCCCCAATCACCCC